CCCAGGGTGACAGCTTGAGGCTCTGTCTCAAAAAAAAAAAAAAAAAAAACTACAAAAAATACATTTACTCTACCTTCTCCAAAAGTGATTTAAAACCAGTAATTAGGGGCCAGGCACAGTGGCTTATACCTGTAATTCTAGCAATCTGGGAGGCTAACACTGTTGGACTGTTTGAGCTCAGGAGTTCAAGACCCTGTCTCAACCAAAAACAGAAAAACTAGCCAGGCATGGTGATGGGCACCTATAGTCCCAACTACCCAGGAGGCTGAGGCAAGAAGGTCACTGGTGCCAAGAGTTTGAGGTTGCTGTGAGCTATGACACCATGGCACTCTACCAGGGCAACAAAGTAAGACTCTCTCAAAAAACAAAACCCCAGCAATTATTTGGCTCATTGTCGCAAGGACTTTCTCCTGACCAAACCAGTCAGGCTCCTTTGCACTGTCTTCTTGAGTAGGCTTTGCTCAGGGTCCTTGGCCTGCTGAGCCCAGTTTTAGCAAAGAATCCTCATGAACCAGTTTATTGAAAATCCCACAACTTGGGGCTGACGCCTGTGGCTCAGTGGGTAGGGTGCTGGCCCCATATACCGAGGGTGGCAGGTTCGAACCCAGCCCTGGCCAAACTGCAACAACAACAAAAATAGCTGGGAGATCCGGCGGGCGCCTGTAGTCCCAGCTACTTGGGAGGCTGAGGCAAGAGAATTGCTTAAGCCCAGGAGCTGGAGGTTGCTGTGACCTGCATGGCACTGTACCAAGGGTGATAAAATGAGACTCTGTCTCTTAAAAAAAAAAAAAGGAAATCCTACAACTTTGATATCCAATTAAAGTCCTCACCCCTGACTCACTCATTAATACTTAACCCAAATTCTTCTTACTATTTTTCATCCACTCCCTCAGACTGCCCATTGGCTATAAATCCCCACTTTGTTACCACTATATTCAGAAGGGGTTCAATCTCTTTCCCTTGCTGCAACAGTCTTGAATAAAGTCTTTCTTCACATAAGAATAATTTCTCTTTAACAATAGCAACCACTAGGTTGTTTATATTAAATCACCTGGTCAATAATTCTCAACACTTAAACTGGCTTTTGGGAAAACAACAATACAGAATATTAGACAGATTTAGGTTAAGATGTGCCACTTGACCAGCTCATTTTACAGATAAAGAAGCTTAGGTTAGAAGTGGTAAATAAAAGGCTGGGCATGGTGGCTCACGCCTGTAATCCCAAAACTCAGGTAGGCTGAGGTAGGAGGATTGCTTGACCTCAGGAGTTTGCAGCCAGCTGAGCAAAAGCAAGACTCGGTCTCCAAAAAAATAACTGGGCATTGTGGTGGGTACCTGTGGTCCCAGCTACCTAGGAGGGTGAAGCAAGAGAATCACTTGAGCCCAAGAGCTATGATGATGCCATGGCACTCTA